GCCAGTTGAATTGTTACTCAACGTTTTATACCTATCGGTTTACGCACTACTTTGAGAGTGAATAATAGTCCCGTCTTTTTCCGAAATAGTCGAACTAGCCACCGGATTTCTAATACTCGTTTGCCTGAAAAGTCTGAACAGTTGTCTACCGTTACGTATTGCCATTGCCTTTTCCATTTGTTTTGGTTTCTCTATTAATCTCTGCTCACAAACGTCGCTTGTGCTTTGGTTAACACTTTTTCAGGCTACCTCCAATCCTCATTTGTTCAGATGCAGACACGATGAGTTTCGAAGCGTCTCTCAGTTCAGTAGATGTTGCTGAGATTCACCAATTTTCCTTAACCGTCTCGGTTTATTTTTCTGGTAGATAATACTGCCATTTCCGCAGACATTAGGATGTCATTCAAAACCACCCCATGGCAGATATTGCTTACATAAGTAACTAACAGTTTTTCTAGTTGTTTCTGACATACATTCCCAGCTTCTTTTTTAGTAGTTAGAACTCCAAAAAGTTTTCTTGCTACGGAAGACACACACGGAAGTGATCGTTTACCAGTTTAAATGATGACTCAAGACACTTGATGGCTTCAACGTTTCCTACTAATTGGGGATTTTTCTGTTGAATTTTTGTCATTAAACACATCATCAAATACATTTCTTTCCACCCTCTCTATACTCCATTAAAACGTAATATTAAACAACGGCACCATGATATGATGTCACTAGAACACTGATAAAACCATCATAATGGCATTCTGGTAGCATATAGCCTATCTTTATTTCCCAAGTCATTGTTCTATTACGTTGTTTCCGCTACAATGCATCCAATTATTAAACTTGGTTTTCGAGGATGGGTAGTTCAGACAGGAGACGTATTTCATTAGAAACCCTCTATATGCTTTCACAGCCCTCAATCTTAGGTGAGGAGTTGTGTAAACTATTTTAAATACGATAAATAATCCAAGATTCCTTTATCAAGAAGTTTAGTGTGATAAACGACTAAATTTCCAAATGTTTCTTTATAATTCTTAATAATCCAACTGTAATTGGTCTTCTAACCAAAAGTAATGGATAATTCCAGAATATAAATGTTCTTAGGAATAATTCCAGACTGTAAATGAATTTCTACAGTGGCCGTTCCAATGGGTTCCAATAGGTGCACTCCTGTACTCGATTCTCCCAGTCCCAGGTCCAAACAAATCAAAAAAGGACAAAAATTCTAGGAGAAAGAGGTCTTATTTAAATAAAAACATGGAAATACAAAGCATTACCTGGAATTAATGCTCCTTCCAGGATACAATTACTCCAAAGAGTATCAGAAATAACGATAGATAAGTGACGTTAAGTCCAGCGGCCACTGTATCAATCCAAATATGGCTGTAGCCATATTAAAAACCAAATTTAAACAACATATATACAATCAGAAGCAAACACAAAAACTTCAATATAAGTACAAAATATAGAAATAATAACAATATACAATGATAAAATCTCAAATTGGAATCAAATAAAATACCAAAAATGTCAACAGAAAAAGTCCGTCATGTCATAACAAAAATATGTAAACATGGAGGGATTTTCCAAAAAACAAAACATTCAAAATGATTCTAGAGTACTCTTGAAAAATTCAAGAAAGGAGGAACAAGAAGGCAGCAGTGATTGTCAGCCGAACAAGAGCAGAGAAAGTTAAGGCGCAAACCGAGTATACAGAAGCAAACAGGGAAGTGAAGAAGAGCATCAGAGCTGACAAACGAAAATATGTGGAATATCTAGCAATGACGGCGGAAAAGGCTGCAAGAGAAGGAAACATGAGACAATTGTACGAAACAACAAAGAGGCTCGCTGGGAACTATCGTAAACCAGAACAGGGAATGAAAAGCAAGGAAGGCAAAGTAATCTGCAACACTGCAGAACAGCGAAATAGGTGAGTAGAGCACTTTAAGGAACTACTGAATCGACCAGCTCCACTGAACCCACCCAACATCGAAGCAGCATCCAAGGACCTCCCAATTAATATTGGCGCACCTACGATTGAGGAGATCAGTATGGCCATCAGACAAATCAAGAACGGCAAAGCAGCAGGACCAGACAACATTCCAGCAGAGGCAATGAAAGCAGATGTAGAAGCAACTGCAAAAATATTTCACATCCTCTTCAAGAAGATTTGGGATGAGGAACAAGTACCATCAGATTGGAAAGAAGGATACCTCATCAAAATACCAAAGAAAGGCGATCTCAGCAAGTGTGAGAACTACAGAGGCATCACTCTTCTTTCAATACCAGGCAAAGTCTTCAACAGGGTATTGTTAAACAGAATGAAGGACTTCGTAGACGCCCAACTTCGAGATCAACAGGCCGCATTTCGTAAGGATCGATCATGTACTGACCAAATTGCTACATTACGGATCATTGTGGAACAATCAATTGAATGGAACTCACCACTCTACATCAACTTCATCGACTACGAGAAAGCATTCGATAGCGTGGATAGGAAAACACTGTGGAGGCTTCTTCGACACTACGGTGTGCCTGAGAAAATAGTCAACATCATACGTAATTCTTATGATGGATTCAACTGCAAAATCGTGCACGGAGGTCAGCTGACAGACTCTTTCGAGGTGAAGACCGGTGTCAGGCAAGGTTGCTTACTCTCAACCTTTCTCTTTCTTCTGGTCATCGGCTGGATTATGGAGACGTCAACATCTGGAGGGAAGCACGGTATCAACTGGACAGTTAGGACGCAGCTTGACGATCTGGACTTCGCAGATGACCTGGCTCTTCTATCGCACACTCAACAACAAATGCAAGAGAAGACGACCAGTGTAGCAGCAGCCTCTGCAGCAGTAGGTCTCAACATAAATAAAGGAAAAAGCAAAATTCTCCGATGCAACACAACATGCACCAACCAAATCACGCTTGATGGAGATACCTTGGAGGACGTTAACACCTTCACATATGTTGGCAGCATCATCGACGAGAAAGGTGGATCGGACGCAGATGTGAGGGCGCGGATTGGCAAAGCGAGGGCTGCATTTCTACAGCTGAAAAATATCTGCAACTCCAAACAACTTTCAACCAAAACCAAAATCAGGATTTTCAATACAAATGTGAAGACAGTTCTACTGTATGGAGCGGAAACATGGAGAACTACCAAAGCCATCATTCATTGGGGGTTACAGGCGTAAGTAAGTAAGTAAGTAAGTAAGTAAGTAAGTAAGTATGGATAGATTCTCCCAAAACGAAGCCTTCAAATCGGCCCGCAAAATCTCTCCATACAAATCAGAGCCCCTTAAATGCCTGAGATCATGATTCACTCCTACTAACGGAATCGGTAGTTCAGTGAATAACGTTTCTGGTAATAAAAATGGAATGCACTATGCTTTCTGACTAAGCACACAAGAGTGTGAAATAAATGCAAATCCTAGTAAGTCAATTGGGATTCACGGCATCAGTCTACCTTTCTCCTCGCTAAATACCATGCTAAGACGGGAATACTTTTCGCGCAACTCCACTTTTCGAAGGACATAGTAGTATTGTAGTTGGAGATTTCCATGAACATGGTCCCTGGAGTAATCCTGTCGTGAACTAATGAAAAACGATGTTGAGAATGCCCAGATGAAATAAGTATATTTTTTTCGTGGTGCCGACAGAATATCGAAATTGTGCCAGAGAATGTGGGCGAAAGGTACAGAGCAGCGAAAGTAAGATGACGACCGCGCAGAAGTAAAGTGTGGAATAAAGTGTACGAGAAAACAAAATGTTCGGTTAAACAAGCACTAGTACAATAGGTTATCTTAGTCAATGGTTTCTACTTAACCAATCGTGCTTTCTTCGTAAAACTTAAATCACTACAACTTTCCATCCTTTCGAGGTATTTCGATGTTTTGAAGTAAACTAAGCCAATTTATGAACTCGATTATAATCAATTTAATTTCAGGATAATATTGTGCTTAACTGTTTTCTGAAATTTATTCATATTATCATTTTAATTTATCCTTACTACCCTTATTACTCTCCACATTGCAACTAACTGATCTCCGGTTTGGTAATGTGACGGCTGCTAGTATCCAGAAACCCTACTGTCCTGAAACAAACGTTTCATTCAAATCCCGAGACATACAAACTCACAACCAACTGCCAACTGACTAGAATTAGACAGTGGAGTGGCTAGACCTCCACCGATTGGACATTACCGAACACCTGGAACCGTACCGAAAGAACAAGAATCGAGCGCGAAGAAATCAAATTGGTTTGGTAATGTCATATAACATATTAAGTAGGCCGAATCATGCCAAAATAAGCATCTTGCCAAAACATCACCAGCAAACTTCTCGAGGAAACCCTCAAATAATAGCACATCACAGAACGGACACCCTGGCACATGCCCACTTTTTTTATTGGCAGCTGTCCCAACTTGAAATAATTTTTCAGCGGAAGAGACCACAGACTCTTCAGTGGATAACGTTAAGAAAAGACTTGATAAATCTGTACTCACATGCGCATTATCTTCTCTTATTACCGTCCCTGTTTCCCCCTCATTCCTGACAATTCTCTTCTCTCGCACAATCTTGACCAACTTTATCAACCAAGTTATTTTCTCACCTGCTTCTAAATTCTTTTGTCATCGAGATTAACTGATCCCCGGCCAATTATTTTAAAAGCTTCTGGTATCTAGAAACCCTTATCCACCGAGACAAAAGCTGTCGCTCAGATCTCAGGACATATACATTATTATATAAGTGCTGAATGATAAGAAAATGCAGGCGAGTGGCTAGACTAATATTCGTTAAAAATTTCCGTACATCTAGATCTGTACCAAAAGATCAGAAAGGAAGCGCCCATAAATAATCGGTATTAATTACATAATTTATACTACCTCGTGACAAAAAGTATAGAATATCTAGATATTTCGGACACTTCTTCTTTAAAACGTCAGTGTTTTAATGATACTATGGTAACTATATAAGGACATGCAGCCCCGCTTCGGTCAAAAGTACAGTGAATTTTCTAGAGCAACATCATGCCGATGTACAGATTTGAAGGTGATGTGAACATACATTGTGTAGGTGTATAAAAATTCCGAATTATTTGACATTACAAAGATTTACTCGCCTGGGACATGGCTTTCCAATCGAGACGAAGTGTATTTGACCGTTGAAATCTTTGGAATCACTAAACGAACACGTTTACATAAGGCTGCCTTCCCGATTCTCATCCATGAAAAGTTTTCATTTGATAAGGTTTGTTGGCCTATCTTAAATGAAATAAAAACAGACTTTTTATACGGCTCTTTCTGCCAGCAATGTGGTGGATAGGTTAGAAGGTAGCAATAAATATATTTCACCACCTTATCTCAGATCACACGGTTACAATCGAAATAAGACAAATCACTGATATTTTCCTTGGAGGAACACTTCTGGCCCATTACACAACGAACGCCAGGGAATTTTTCACTCCATGTTCAAAAATGTGTCAGAGAACACTCCCCAAGAGAGATTTGTTGATGATGAAGACTGTTGATTTCCTGGTAACTTTAGTATCCGTTATAACATTTTTAGGGTGTCTCGCCAAGATTGGAATATTCTGTTAGTTCTGTTATCAAATGTCATTCAGCTTCTTGCTATTGCACTTGCTACGTAAGCCTCTATTTCTGTTAACTTAACTGTTTTAGTATACTTCTCCACAGTGCTGCTGTTACGATCCGTGAGTTTATACATACACTTTAAATACGGTCGCTGCTTATTTCTCAGGTTTTAAAATTTATGATTTCAATGAGTTTCTGTTATAAACAATTACTTTTTGTTAAATTCTATTCAAAAATCAGCTATTTTTCTCATTCACTTATACAAGTAAGGTTAATAGTGGTTATTTTTATGAAATTTTACCCAGGCTATAGGCTAAGTTTTCCGTATATAACACTGATAGACTGAGACAGAACAAATGAACATTTTTAGCCGATAGATATACAGGCCAGATCATTTCATTTACTACTTACTGTTGATTACTCGGAAGAAATATGTTAACTATAATAGTTTTCATGATTGAAGTCAGAAGCTTAATAACTTCAACCTCAAAATTCTAATCAAGAGTAAATTCCAACTTTTGTTTATGTCTTATGCAAAATTACTCTTGCCTACCAATGACTCTGCAAATGGTATATAGTGACTTCAAAAAATGTCTGATTACTTTGAATTTTAATTATTTCCCTCCCTAAAAATGCTATTTCTTCTCTATGAATCCAAAGTTTTGCATATCGCTTTAAATAACAATCGAACTTCTGATTGATGTCTATTATTGTTGATTCACTGGTGTATTAGTAAACGTTTTCAGATGTTTCACACAAAATCAAATCTGAAGATCAAAAGTTCTGGACAACTGGTGATGAGATTTAAAATAAACTAAATCTGAAAGTGGTTTGGCTGCTCAGAAAGTTCAACAATTCCAATGTATAATCTTTTTCACTTAGACTCACATCTAGGAAAACGCTAAGCGAATAAACGAGTTAATTTTATTACAAGTCACGACGTTTAGTGTACCTGCATATCAATAATACTTGAGCCCTACAGTTTAATCATGTTTCTTCATCACACTTACGTGGATCTATCATTTAAACCAAACACCAACCTCTTCGATTTCATTTTTAGTGATAGCTCGATTTATTGTTATTCTGTTACTGTAAGTTTAATCGTAATGAGTGAGGAACCAATTCATTAGGAGTTCATTTCTTGGGTTTGGTAAATCGACACAATACATTTTTTTTAGCTCTTTACGTGGAAGAAATCAATTTGTAAACCACTTTTAAAGTAATCATTTTAAGTTGAAGATCATCAATAAAGTGTTAAGAACTATTTCTGCTATTATGAATGATTACTTTTTTACAGATTTTGCCTTACAGAAGTGTTAAACTCTGATAAATAGTTCACTTGGAGTTTACCAATGTACGCACTATAACGTTGCTTATAGGAGGACACAAAACAAATCACTGTGACCTAAGATTATGATCTTTCTTAATGTTAGCTAATAGTAGCTTGCTGTTGACAAGTTTAATAAAAGTTATCTGACTATGATATTAAATTTCAGGTTAAATATACTTCAAAACTGCTATTAATTTGGACGTTTTCAAATTTGTACTTGATCTGACAACTGTATTTATTTGATGCAAATTTATATACTGCCAGTTAGAGTTTATAAATTACTGCTTTTGCTAGCTTTGATTAACCATAACAAAAGATGTTTTTTTCACTAACTCAAGAATAGTTTGGACTTTTGCATTTCATAAAACAAAAATTCATGCGCTTTTGATTATTATGTACGATGAAGTTAAAAAACCTAATTTCATTATTAAGTGTTCCAAATTTCGCCTTTTTGATTTCTAGGTGTCTTTACAGGCCATTAACACCAACGCCAAGCTATCATCGAGCCACAGTGAATAGTGCTTTAAGATGTCGTTATCCTGAAATTAATGATTCAAAATACTATGTAGAATCTGATACAGCTAATCATATTGCGAAATCGAAAAGTGCTTCAAGAACTTCCAGAAGTCCAAGAAGAGTAAAGTTTATATTATATATAATATTGATCAATTTTTCTAAGGCATATTTTTTTGATGACATTTTAATGGAATCATGTTTATTATTTATAAGATCATGTTTACTTTAAACTGGATTATTCAAGGATAGAGTTTATTTTTACCATGTAATTAGGATTTGTTTTGTTTCTGAAAAATTCAGTATATTCTATATAGTTAACATATAAGATATCTGGTTTTAAGATTATTTAAACAATTTTATTTTATAAATTTTTAATCTAATTCTTTAAGAAGACTAATGCAGGTGGGCAATATTCGTATAGATCTCAATATCGACCTAGATCATTATCTGCACGAGCATATCAAAGTAAGTTATATTGTGTAAACAATACTACTGTTTAGTTTATCTGTGTAAAACATTAAACTAACATTCATTACACTAATAGTTGCGACAAGTGGACTGAGTCATGTTGGTAGATGGATGTAGACTACCTGGTTGGGGTCCGCGAGATGAAAGTCACCGATGGTTAGAGACCTTGAATGACAAGGGTCAAAATCGTTTGAAATGGCGCAAGTGCATCCATTCGTTGTGCTCTCTCAAATCCTAATCTTCTAAAATCGTCAGCTCCTCTACTTTTGTCTTTCTAACCTTATCTCACTGAATTATACTTCTTGAATAATATCTTCAAACCCTAGTCTTCTTCATTACCATTAATACGTCTACTATCTTTATCACTATGGGATTTGATTTGAAATTTGCGTCTCTGTGCTAATGTGGTATGGCAACATGAACTTATGTACATACGTACGAATTTCTACGTTTGATTCTGTGAGTGTAAGCTTTACGATTTTATCAATACAAATACTGATTACAATGAAATCTAAGTCATAAAGGGGTTTTCTGCCAACGAACTCCAACCAGTTAATACCTACTGTCTGTTAACTAAATAAGTTTCTTCATATAAATGATTCAGTGAATTATCATTAATGGTTATGTTAAATAAATATTGACAGTTTATATAGAGGAAGAAATGATTTACGCGTATGTTTGTTTCATATTACCTAGTGTTTTTGATGATTGGCTTTAACATAAAAGTAATAATAATACATTTTCGCGATATAAGCCCATTTGACAATTGTAACCAGAGGTCTAGAAAGTGAATAACATGATCACAATTGTTCCTGAAGGGGAAGATATATCCCTTTCTTTGTCTACTCCCACATTCTTATCATCTAAATTCTTCATGACCTTCTTTTTCCTCTTTTTTTAAAGATATTTCACTGGTTTATACTTGTCTAATCATATTTTCAATTTCTAATCTTTTCCATTATGAATAACATTGCTACCACTGCTACGACTTATGGGATTAGAGCTGACAAGTTCATATTTCTGTATTGTTTGGGTATGTGATAACTTGGACTGATGTACTTACTTACGAAGTCCCATGTTGCAGCTACACTAACTGACTGACAAGAAAAGTTTACTTATACAGACTGATCACATTTCAATTTTTTTTTCAAACAATATATCATTGAATTTATTTACTAAAAGAAATTAATTATTCACTGATTTCTAACATATTTCCTTAAAAATATTTCAGGTTGCTGTGAAACTTCGGTAAGTTATATGTTGATATTTCTGTTTTCTGTTTTTTTGGTAGATACTTTCTCTGTATTGAAACTAATTTGATTAAAAGTTCAGATAATCCTAGTAAATATACCATTTAAATTGAGTTTAAAAGTAAGATGAATAAGATTTTGTTGGTTTATCATATTAAAACAATCGCTTTGTAACATCGATTCACTACAGTTTACTGAAGCAAATGGAGCGGATGGATTTAGTGCGAATCTACGCCAGTGTAGCTGTGTTTGGAAACTTGTTGTAAAAACCAAAAACGTTGATGAGCAATAATAAGTATTCCCATTGTGGGATATTGTAGCATCTACCAAGTATGCTTATGCTCACATACTGTACACACATGTCAAAGATATATGTGTACTAATTTATGTATTTTAGTGACAAATGGAAGCAAAGACTAAGTCTCTAGTCCACCCCTAGCCTAAGCACACCATAAAATCCAACTATGTAGCTCTTACATTTCGGTCTTAATGGCTCCTCGTGTCACAATTAGTATTTTTCATAAATTGCATTGCAACTATAACAAAGCACATTCATAACCCGAACACCAGGGGTTTCATTCACAAGGATTTAAACTTTGAATCATTGAGCTAGCATTCAACAGTGTATGTTTGAATCCAGTCCATTCACTCTAAATAGTGGTTATTTCCAATTGTCTGCTGTGGATATATGTTTATCAGCCAAAATGGTTAAACCCTACTGGTAAATGATTTGTATGGGAACTCCTGGAACTGCATTTCGATGTCAGCCACTAATAAAGATATGATTGTCATTGGTACACACTACGATGAACCACTTACATAGTACTTTCAGATTTTTCAATAGTTGTCCAAGACCAGTTGTTCATAAACTTATCTTTGAAGATTTGACAATCTTTCCAAATCCTTATATACTAAGAACGATGAAATAAAAGTGACGAAACACTCAGTAATCAACCTTGATTGCTTATTATCCCACATTTAACGGCTATCACGTCCTTGTATGGGACTCGTCAACAATGCTCGTTCACAACCTCTGCAAGCTGGAGCCAAACTTAATAAGGCCTTCAGGTCGGACGTGCCAACCCTTAACCTCCAAACTACTAAACCGGCATCTAACGGTGTTGAAATGCTTAACTTCACTCAACCCACCTCACCAAATTGTCTTCAGTAGGTAACTACTCTGCCTACACCCCGCGACACGACTGAACTCCATTCATTGATTGTGGCTTCTCACTTTTAAAACTCCGAGAATTTCTTCATGAAGCTTAGTCACCCATAAGATATGGTTCAATGATAATAAATAATTCATTCATTCATTCATTTCAAATATATCCTTATCAATGTTGCCATAATTGTTCAATGTTATCAATATTGATTAACATCAACAACAACAACAATAAAAATCCAATAAAAATCATGTGATAGATAAAATCATTATTGCTGTTTTTTTATATAGCCTATTAATTCATATTCTACATGGGATCTTCGTGAACGAACTATTCGTGATGCACAAGATCGTAGGTAAGTCAACTTTCTGTTGTTGTTGTGTTTTTTTTTCTAAAAAAAATCCTAATTGTATTTATTATTATAATGAAAACAAAGAGGAATGTACTTTTTTTTTATTATTATAATTAATAATAAATTTCCTCTACATTATTAGTTCATTTATTTAACGATGAACCATTTCTGTTTCATACAGAAGAATGTGGGACAAAGTTAATCAATACATGGAGACCATGGTAACATTGCTCAGCTGAATAATAACATATATATATATATGTATATGTATATATAAGTGTACATATATAGATAAGACATTATTCTATGTGAATTGGATAGATGAAATCACTTTTATAGACAAAATGATTTATCCATTTTTGCAAAGGCCAATTTTGAAAAACTGATGTATTATAGATTAATTTTATTTTAAAATGACATAAAGAAGAAGTAAACAATTTGAGCTGAATTGTTTATTTTTTGTAATTAAAATGGCATATGAAAAGATTTTTTTTAGGCGTGCATAAATCAACTTTGAAGGAGTATTATTATCAATCAATGAAGTTGAAGTTCTAAACAACTGGTCCTCTTATTCAATAATAAATATATAGACGTCTGGTTTATAATGAAGAATAATTATTCCCTGTATTGAGACGAATTTATTGTTATTTGTCATTGATTATAGAGTTGTGAAGATTGTTGAATTTTTTTTTGAATCATGAGTTTGATCATTGTTAAAGACCTCTGTTGGAAGCCTAGAAGCCACTGTAAGGTCGTTTGATCCTTCCTCTATTATAGATAGGACTCATCAGAAATGCGCAACTACAAACCTCTGCGCAACGGTATCAAATCCACAAAGTTCATCTTCGCTTAACCTCTCTAGACTAATGATCTGGCACTGAACAGAGTTGATCATATCCTAAAGGTATTGCGCAACCTTATCAATAATTGATTCAGTGAGTATATATATACCTCACACCAGATAGGGGGCTGAACTTCATTTGTCATATCCCGCTCACTCTAAAACTCCGAGAATCCTTTCATATGAACCTAGTCACTAATTAATTAGCATATGATGCTTGTGTGAATCCTGTTATATATTAGAACAATAAGGTCGTACAGTGGTGCTTCCAAGTGTCCACTGATGATCCTACTACACTAATCAGTCAATAAAAAAAAACCTTTTAATAAATAATCTTTACAATGAAATTTATTGAATATCGTTTTTTTTTTATTCAATTTTTTCTTACAATTATTCATTATTCAATCATAACACAAACGTTTTGCTGCAATACAATGTTCAACAACTAACTATCAGCGATCGTTATTGGCATTTGTATAGATTTTGGCAAAATGAATATGATCGATTACGTTTACAAAGATGTTGATTGAAATTCCAAAAAGAAGCCTGAACTATCTATCTATCTATCTTCAAATAGTAATAATAATAATAATAAATATTCATAACAATATTAAACAAGAATTACTACGTACTCTCTCTAAAAAAAAACACAGATTATTACTGAAATTTAAAATCCACTTTCTTCTTATTATTATCATTATTTTCAATATATACATATATATATTGAGAAAATATCGAATTAGATAGAGAATTATTATATAATATTTTACATTGAACAACAGTTTATAAATTATTTACTTGTATAGTTTACAGTTTTTGTCAGGAATCTTTTGTCCTTTTTCATAGTATTATTATTATTATTATCGATTAAAGTGTACAATAGTTTATTTGTTACAAGGTTTTTTCTTTAGTTACATAGTCTAAATACATATAAAAACTCCAAATATTATTATTATTATTATTATCATTAACGTTTTCGTTACACATATATATATACTACTTATTTCCCCTTCCATCTATATACACACATATATATATATTCAATTTATATTTTTAAAACAAAAATTGAGAAAAAAAATAACACACATTACATGAATACGAATTATGACTGATTACTACTAACTATATCTCTATTTTTAAAATTATTGAAAACAAAAACCTACATACAGTATGTGAAGACTATATGAATGATATATATATTTTTTAAAATTAGTTATTTTACATTTTTATTTTGTATGTTTCAAACAATATCTCCTGTGTGTGTGTGTGTACACCTTTTTAATCAATCTATTATTTACCTATTAAATATAATGTGCCTTATAATTGGGAAAAGATTAGAGATCAAATATATATATACATAGATGTGTACTACTGCACACACACAAATTTTAAAAGAAGCATCGTTTTTGAAAAGTTCTAGAAGAGATTTTATTTCTTACCACAGTGAAAAGATCTTATCTTCTAGATGACCAGATTTTGTCAATTATTCATTAGTTCATCTTTGATGAAAAATCTATGGTATTCTTATTTTTTATTTATTTCGTAACGATACTATTTGCTACTTATTCTATGATTTATCAGTAGTATATATATGTTGTCAACTAGAGAAAATGTACATTGATGACGACGTATGTGGGTTTTTTTTCTTTTTCAATTGATTTTAAATGAATGTATGAATTAGTCATGTTTTTGTTTTTGAAATTAGTATGATAATAATAATAATATTTAGATACATATAAATTGTTTTCCCTGACAATAATGGAAGCAACAACTTATGAGGGGCCATTTGTAAATTGAACTTGTGAAACATTTGTTTTAATGGATTGCGATCTGACTCCGATTTGAATGAATGAATGATTAAATATGCTATTAAAATTAATCTTTTATCTAATTTCTCTAATATCATGTTTCGGGCGAAGCTCGTTTGTGTGACGGCGGTCAGTCAGTCAGTCAGTTGCAACGTAGAACTTCGTACGTAAGTACATCAGTTCATGTCGCCATACCACATCAGCACAGAGATATAATTGTCAATTCAAATCCAATAGTAGAAGAGGTAGTAGAGGTATTAGAAGTAGTCGGAGAGGTTAGGATTAGAAGATACTATTCAAGAATTATGATTAAGTGAGATAAGTTTAAAAAGTCAAAACCAGAGGTGTTGAAGAATCCAGAAGATTAGGATTTGAGAGAACACAAAGAATAAATGCACCGGCGCCATTGCAAACGATTTTGAGCCATGTCATTCAAGGTCTCTAACCATCGATTATTATCATCTCGCGGACCCCAACTAGGTAGTCGACAATTACCGACATGGCTCAGTCCACTCGTCAATGACTTCATGGATTTCTGCCATGTTTTGGTTTGGCCGCCACTAACTTTCTTCCAACCTACTCCTACACTACAAAACAAAGCTCTTCGAGGCAGTCGGTGGTTAGGCATACGCAACACGTGTCCCAACCACCTCAACTGATGAAGTTTCACCACTTCATCTATTGATCTGTCATTCTTACCTAGTACCCGTTTCTTAATAACAGTTGCTCACTCGGGTGTCCCAGGATATACGAGCAATGCTTCGAAGACACATATAATCGAAAACCAATAACCGACGAGTATCTTCTACTCTCATTGGCCATGTTTCACAGCCAAAAAGTAAGACGGAGCGAACCACTGTGACGGCGGTAATTAATATGAAACTAAATACAGATTCAGTTGGATGATTTAATTCCATTCAATCGTTCATGCAGACAGATATGAGAATATATGATATAACATAAAAAAGAATAAAGGGAAGTAAGCTCCAGAAGAAGGAAATAAGCCATCTGCAATCCAATGAGACATGACAAAGTGTTTATAGTCAGACAATAGTATGCTGCTACAAGCGAACTAAGCAATGCAAATACACGTTCGAGTAAAAACAACCAAGATTTCAAGCAAATAATTTACAAAGCCGAAAGATGTGTGAATAGTAGTAGTAGGTGATTCGACCAGAAACGGTTATAATTAATTTGTCCAAAAGCTAGGAGAATCAATGTGGATTCAACGTAGTTAAGTAGCACATTCACTAAACCAAGCTTACTTATCTTCACAATAATTAGCTTATATTCTGGTTTATCTTCAGCATGTTTTTTTCCCAATGACGGTTAAGCCATTAAAACAAATTAATTTCTCTATTATATACCACAGATTTGATTTTAAAAGTGAATAATACCTGTCGCGCTTTTACAGAAAGAAACAAGACATAGAGAAACGTATACTCAAAATTGTGATGTTTACTTGTTGAAATTTTTTCATTATATTAGGCAGTAAGTAATACGGTGATTCACGTCTAACCAGAAGATATCTTGTACACTAAGAGAGAGTAGCTTGAGTAGGGTGAACTGGAAAACAGAACATTGAAAAGATGAGTGAGTCGATGACCTAACAAGTGTACAAAATGCATTTCCATTCATTGGGAACATTGATAAATAGCAGCTAATAATCCCACAAGCTTCTAATTCCTAGAACCTGATAAACGAAACTAGGAGTGGGCAGTGTGAAAATGTTTCAAACCATTACAAATTCGTAAACTTCATAAAAGCGCATAAATACTACAAAAACCATTGAAAGTACTTCATAAATCAGTTCGATAAAAAAAAAAAAACAAGAATATATGTATCAAACTATCGATTGAGATCACATCATAAACGTCAACTTATTAAATAATGACAATTGTTTGTGTTTTACGCTTACTGCTGATGTTCAATTTCCAATGAATAGAATAAGAGTCAGTTACACACGATAAATCAAATTGTGTATGTATGTATGTACGTATATATGTATGAATGTATCTGTATTTGTTTGCCCTTATGACAAACAAAAAATATCTTGGAGGTTTATTTCTATTGTTTGTATAAATTTACCTGTAAGTGTATTTCGAATAGGCAATTGATAAGTCTGATCGAACATATGTGTATCCTGTGTGGATAAATTCGATATGACCTTTAGGTTTTAAGCATTATTAACAGAGAGGGATGGTGACTAGCCGTGGAATCCAGGAGACGATCCTTGTCCTATCGGAGATTTGTCAACTGTACGTACCTGCATCTTAGAGTAGATGTTCATACGAATGACTCAAATTCAGCCTCTTTTACTTCAAACACTATTGTGCTATCACCCTCTGCTATAATAATGTTTGCAACTTTAAGGTTAAATCAAGGTCATCCGCATAGAATACATATGAAGTTATAGTTCTATTCATCAATGGGAAGATTTAAGCAACCAATGAATTAATCTTCACTCCATTGCAGAAGAGTTTTAAGTGGAGCGTAAATGGATTCAAGTCCCTGAGGTGAACACCCGCTCTGGATAATAGGTACATTCTTCTGAGCAATAGAATGAAACTCTTGACTCGGATTCTTTTGCTACCACCACCCATCCCTGCATAAAATATCTTAGAGGCATCTGTAGTGTGTGTACACCACTATGTCCAGCCCACAGGGCTCCTCTCACCCTTTAGTACACTATTCTCAAGTTATTATTCACTCGTCTTTTGACCTTGTCAGTCATTCGTTCATATTTTGGTTGGTATTATTCATGTGTGTGTGCACATTCAACTCGCTTAATACATTCTCTGGCTTACTTTATCTTACTATAAATGTTTAATCTGCTTCATCGAATGCAGTTGGCTCACTCACCGTCTCCGCTTTGCTTTGCTTGTATGCTTTTCATTATCATGTTTGCGCCGATGATTGCCTGAAATAAACTCATCCAATCGAATCCGCACTTAGCTTCTTTTATAAATGGGGTCCGCCTGAGTGTAGTATACGGAAACTGATGTGGAGATTTATTTCATAGCATATTTAAATTGTCGATAAATATCGGAATCCGATGGTGGGCTATACATTTTTGTAAACCAAACAATAGTTATTTTGATAATAAGTTTTATTTACTTAACTGTAATGAATAAAGTTTAAGGTGAAATATGATTTCAAAGAAATGCATACAAAAAAAAATTTTAATTAGAAATTATTTTCAGCACTAATATCTTTGAGTGACGACTGTTGGTTGTATTTTGTTTGTTGTCAAAATTTAAACTATGTGATATTATATTCTTAGTATTCAAAACTAAACACAAAAAAGTTAATTAATTATTTTAATAACAAATACAAAAATTGTTTCAGTGAGTTATTCTTATTATCGTATTGAATGAAGTGGTGATTTTGTTTAAAAGAATTCAATGTGTTCAATTGTCAAATATTGTGAGTCAGTGTAACAGTGTTGTAATACACTGATCGTATCAATAACTATGGCAGAAAATCACTTTCAAAAGTGAAATTAATGTCATTAGTTCATGCATGCAACATTGTTCACGTGTAAAATCTATCCAGAATGTATACATTGTTGTGTGTTGTACTAATATGTTGAGCTCACTAACCCACATAACTTAGCTCAGATTGTATACGAACTAATTAACCTTTTGCTAGCCAAGTTATTATTATTCACATGTTGTCTATTGACCTTATCAATTATTTTTGCTTGATTGATTATCTT